TGATTCAGGCAGCATTACAGAAGTCAGATTGTATTGGAACATTCAGAATATTTATCCAGTTCTATCTGGTTGAAGATCGGAGTCATCACGCCGGTATGGAGACGGGTTTGTTCTTCATGGAATCCACATTGACAATTCTTAAGTGATTTATCTGTGCACATCATTATTTTTTTTGTTTTTAAATTCATGAGCCCTCGCAATCTTTAATCAATTTTTTTTTTTATCAAAAACATTAGCATCCCCTCCCCCTTCCCCCTGACATCACATCATTGATGATGTGTACACTGGTACGAGGGCTGAGCATCATGTCACTCACATGAAATCATCTCAGCAATCAGCAAACGACAATGTCCTATCAAAACTATTTAAGTGTAAACAGTGTCTGTTTAAGAACTGCTCTTGTGTACCTTGCACATTTGTAATGTCTTAAGCACTCTGTGTATCTGTGCACTGTGTTTAAGCATATGTTTATGTGAATACTGTGCATATCAGTAAATTATTTAGTACATATACAAATTATTTATTATTTTTCTGTATGTTTGGGAAGAATGACAAGCAAGTGATTTTGATTTGTCCAAAAAAACTTTTTTGTTTGTGCCAATTGCACTCCAGATACCCATTCCTAGTATCACACAACTTGCAGTCTGCGTGCAATGTTCTCCCACAGTGCCTCCACAGACAATAGGGAGCATTTGACTATCTGACATATCTGTCCTCTTTTGCACTTCATGTAAAGTTGACTGTGTAGCATTGGCCAACTGCTAACTCTTTGAGGGCCTGTTGCATGTCAGCGTGGACACGCAGACGTGACAGAAGTCTCTGACCTGTCTCTGGCAGCTGGGAATGGCACGTCCATCCCCCACCCAAAAAACAAACGTGTTGCTGAGAGCTGGGCGGCAAATTGTCGCACCCGACGTCAGCCCATGACCTTTGACTTCAGCTGGCAGCTGGCTTGGTTACAGTGTTGAAAAGAAGGGCACCCATGCACTGCAAGTACAAGTGAAGCAGTAGGAGGCTACTTGTTATATTTGTGACCAATAGTAATCCCAAACACGTCAACCCAGTTTATTTAGACGCCAAAGGTGAGAAAACAAGAGAGAACGTAGATTTAACACAGCCTGGTCACCTGAGAGCCTCATGTCACTGAGTCTTAACATACGAGTCAGACTAGACATACTTTAGGTTATTTTTAAACATATTCTTTAGTCTGAACTCCAAAAAAGCCATTTACACTGGTTGTAAGCTTTAGACAGGGAATATGAAATACACAGCCTGCTATCAGCGGATCTTTAAAGATTCCACACACTACTGTAGCTTGCAAAAATAATCAATATTTATTGCAACATTTCAGTCATGAAAGAAACCATACTAAATAATGATTTTTTGTTGTTGTTGGAAGCTTTGTAATTTGTGAGATATTTTCTCTTGTAATATCTTAATGTCTTACACATCTAGGCTACATGTATTCATTCAGGTATACAATGAGTATTTTGGTCAATGAAAAATATGAATGTCCAAAAAAATTAAATAATAATAATAATCTTGTTTAAAACACACCTGCCAAATTCTAAGAAATATACTCTTTGCATCTTTGATTCTATATGGGTTTGATAAACTTTGATTCACAAGTGGAAAACATTCAAGACAGTTGCCAATCTTCCCAGAAGTGGACGTCCCAGCAAATCCAGCCCAAGGTCAGACTGTGCACTGCTCAGAGAAATCGCAAAACACCCAAGAACTACACCTCAGAATCTACAGGCCTCAATTAACATGTTACATGTTAACGTTCATGGCAGTACAATTAGAAAAAGACTGGACAAGTATGGCATGTTTGGAAGGGTTGCCAGGAGAAAGCTTCTTCTCTCTAAAAAGAACATGCAGTATGGCTTTGGTTTGCAAATCTGCATCTGAACATACCATACGACTTCTGGAACAATGTCCTTTGGACAGACGAGACCATATTGGAGATGTTTGGGCATAATGCACAGCACCACATTTGGTGAAAACCAAACAGCATATCAGCACAAACACCTTATACCAACTGTCAAGCACTGTGGTGGAGGAGTGATGATTTGGGCTTGTTTTGCAGCCACAGGACCTGGGCATCTTGCAGTCATCGAGTCGACCATGAACTCCTCTGTATACCAAAGTATTCTAGAGTCAAATGTGAAGCCATTTGTCCGACAGCTAAAGCTTGGCTGAAATTGGGCCATGCAACAGGACAATGATCCTATGCACACCAGCAATTCTAAACTAGAATGGCTGAAAAAGAAAAGAGTCAAGGTTTTGCAATGACCAAGTCGATGGTATCCACCATTAAGGGAGTTGTGCATAAACAGATGCCCACAAACCTCAATGAACTGAAGCAACGGATGTAAAGGAGAAGTGGGCAAAAATTCCTCCAGAACGATGTGAGAGAATGATCAAGTCATATAGAAAATGATTACTTAAAGTTATGCTGCTAAAGGTGGTTCTACAAGCTATTTAATCATAAGGTGTACTTATGGTGCTTTTCCACTGAATGGTATGGTACGGCACGGTTCGGTACGGCACGCTTTGGCGCTTTTCCACTGCATGGTACGGTACGGTACGGCTCGCTTTAAATCAGTGGTCTCAAACTCGCGGCCCGAGGGCCATTTGAGGCCCGCGGGGTGATATTTTGTGGCCCCCTACTTGACATTAAAGTTTAATGTTAGTGCGGCCCGTCGTTGCGTGTGCCACGTTTTTATTTTTTTATTTTTTTATCCCTTATGGGCTACCATAGATAGTCTCGTGACAGCTTACGGTGGGTTTGTTGTCAATAGTTGTCATAGACAACCGCGAAGTACAAACATACTGCGCCTGGAAAAAATGAGCGCGTCACTTCAATTATGAGCGGGCTTGCCGCGCGCCTACATTTGAAATAACGAACTTGAGCGCGCAAAATATGTGAGCGCGATATGTGAACGGCCCCTTGGCGAGCTACCACCAATCAGGCCTCGAGCTACTGGTAGCTCACGAGCGACGTGTTGGAGATCCTTGCTCTAAAACAATGTGAGAATAGTCATTTTGAGCTTGTAATATGTGTCCAACAGGTTGATAAGAAGGTTTGCTTTGATTTGTGCAAAGTCAGTAATTTGCCTGAGACACTATACATGTGTAGAAAGAATTCAATAAGACGGGCAGACATGACTGCAAATATTTGTATTTCAAAAGCAATAATTGTTTTTCTAAGTATAATAAAAGGAAATGTGCCTTCCAAAAAAACATTCAATATCATATTGAAAATAAAAAGGACATGAGGAAATATAAGTACCACAAATATGTGTTATAAGGAAAAGATAAAGAAAGTTTGTAATATGAACTTCAACTGTCAGAAGGACAGCTCATGAAGAACCAATCATGTACAGAAAGGAATGTTCAAATTCAGAGGAACAGATCAGAAGAAACGTTAATAATAAAGATTGAGAAGATTGGATCAGTTGTGCTCCTTTTTTGGAATACTTGAATACTATTTTTTTGTGGAATACTTGATGCGGCCCAGCCTGATCCAGACTCTCCCTCCAGCGGCCCCCAGTTAAGTTGAGTTTGAGACCCCTGCTTTAAATGGTACCACCTCTGTTGAGTGAAAACACTGCAGATCACTGATTGGTCAGACAGAATCGTCACTACCAGCGTCATTGTATTTGCGAGACATCAAACCCGCTAGATTTAAATAGCCAGTAACAGCCACCGCTGTAGCATCTGTTTTAAAACTACTAAAAAAGAAAGAAAAAAACGTCCAAAAAAGAAATGGCTGAATCGTGGTCAGTGGACGAAGAGCAGACGTTCCTCTCGTTGGTTGCCGAGGAGCGGATAAACTATAACGATCAGTCTATAATCCCACCCACTTTGAAGCGGTACTAACTGCAGTGGAAAAGCAAACCGAGCTAAAGCGACCCAAGCCGTGCCGTGCTGAGCCGAGACGTGCCACGCAGTGGAAAGGCGAAGCGAGCCGAACCGTGCCGCGCCGACCCGAACCGTACCATGCAGTGGAAAAGCGCCACAAGTTTGTCACACATGGCACATGTCAACCATTTGAAGCCTTGGCTGGAGCCTCCAGACAGCTCTATGTTTAATATGGTGAACAAACTGGAATGTTTCTGGAAATTTGTTTGGAGTGTTTGTGTGTAAGTTTGCTGTAAATATGAATTTTTTCCTGGTTGCTGAAATTATACCATGCTAAATTTAAAAATAGAAAATATCTTAATATCCTGATATCTTAAAGAAAAAATGTTTCATTAAAAGAATGAAAATCTTGTGAAGAAGAAACCTATATTTGGCATACAGTCATGTGTAAAAGAAAGGGGACCCTTTTGAATAGAGATTAGGAAATTAAGATATTTTCTATTTTTTTTTCTATTATCTAACCAGGAAAAATAAATATTTACAGTAAATGCAAACACACACACAAACAAAGAGTCCAAACTAATTTCCAGAAACATTCCAGTTTGTTCACCATATTAAACATAGAGCTGTCTGGAGGCTCCAGCCAAGGCTTCAAATGGTTGCACTCATTCCAGGCATTATTCTCAAAAATCCAGCTGCGATTTTAAAATGCTAAACCTTCACTAAATTCTGTCTCCTAAACCTCAATCATTCGTTCCAACCTCGCTTCTGTCGGGACTTCCAATGGTTCCTCTGAAAACACATGTACTGTACACAATGGATATCTTTGTCCAGGCATTTTTCCTGTTAGCTTGGGGATAAAAAGATGGCAGAAAAAACAGACACCCAGCTTCCTGCAGACATTATTTGTCATGCAAATGTTTAACGAGACATTTCAGTCACCTCAGAACATTTTCACCACAGTTGTGCAATGTTTGATTCTCACATTATTTGTTATTTTTTCCAGAAATTGTTCACCTTTCCTTCAGCACAGACAAATATTGCACACACCACACACCAGCAGTTCCAAGCAATGCCCACAAAAGGGATCCAGACTTTGAAAGTAATTTTGTGGATGTAGAAGAGTGGCCTACCTTTGGTACAGTGTTGCACTCTATCAGTCTGCTCAAACTGCCCAATAGGTTAACTTATGCCTGTAGAAAGAGAGAGGGAATGTAAGCTTGTGTATACAAAAAATATGATTGTTTTTTTTCTCTCACAAAAACTGGGACTTTGATGTGACCCGGTTTTAATTAATATGTTAATATCATAATTGACAGTCCCAATTGTAAGGTAAACTGTGTACCAAAAGCTTTTAACCCAGATATTGTGTGTACACATAAAAAGAAACTAGAATCTATATTTAAATAGGACTAAAAAACCTCAAACCCAGAGCGGGGGATAAGGACAAAGAGGGTTACTTTAATTAAAACCACACTGGCATTTTGAACAAACAAATCTTTTCCCAGACAACAATGACTCATAACCTATACAATCCTTTTCAAATTGAATTACAAAAAGTGTGATGACTTAGTTGTGCTCATTCATCTTGATCAGGAAAGTCACGACACACAACCTCTTATTTGCCCTCAAAACCTTGACATACACACTCCCAAACACCTCAGCTGATGAGAGACAAAAGTGAAGAGTGCGTCCCGACTCCCGAACAAAGAAGACCACAGCTGCACACTGAGGCACAACTGTGCCGACCGTCTGTCCACATGGCAGCATGAGACGCTGCGTGAGTGCCGCATGACAAAGCAGTGGCTCACCGACCTGCAAACCATGTGGTGTCCTTGCAAAATACTCCCTCATTAGATCTTTCTTGAGACACTTGGGGAGTGACTCATGTGTGTAAGACATACTGAACAACACAGTCTCTCCACATTCCACCAACAGTGCTGAAAAAACAGCTCCCTGATTAAATATTGTCTTTAAAAAGTTGTTAAAAATGAAGGAAGGTGTAGGAGTATTTGAATAGTGAGTCATTATATAAATCCTCTTATGACATGTGATATTGGTTACCATGGTAACAAAGTCAGTAAGAAGCCTTCTCAGTGTCTACACTGGTAAAACGCATGGGAAAAATACAATTTCTCTCTAAATAAACCAAAAGCAACTTGCTCATAGTGATGCGAAGGGATCATAAGGTGTGCTGACACACTGTCACAAAATTTATTTGACTAAGTTCACCTGTATTTTGAAATTCAAAATAGGATAGTTTTCGGCTACAAAGTATGATACACCAAAAGGTTGTTTTTTTTTTTTTTTTTTTACAGAAACGCTGAAACTTTTAGCTGAAAACTAAAACCAAAAACTTAACTAGTGTGTTGTGTTCTCAGGTGATAAATGAAACCAGTCATAGTTATTCACAATGAGTAACTTCTCTACATCTGAAAACATTTTACATATTGGTACATTCTCAAACATTATTTTTGTTCATGGTGAAGTGTGTCAACACTGCTGACAAATTTACCTGTTGTAGCTTATCCACGTTGTATGAACAAAACAGACAGTCAAAACTGGGACAAAATATATCTTAAAATTCAGCATTAAATGAAAATTCACCCTATATATTTTCAAAATGCATGTTCTAGATCTTATTTGTGAACAATTCATCTACTCATATAGGCTTCATTTAAAAAAATGTTTTGACCTCGTAATGTTTAATCAAAATGTTATATCTGGATCTTCAGGTGAAAACAACTTCTGTCTGGTAACATATGCAGGACTTCTCCAATCATTTTTAAAACCTGCCCCTGCAAGCTCGTGTTCATCTGCCCCCACTTTTGAGAGAAATGCCCCAATCAAACAAAATCCAATCAACAACCAATGAATAAAGCAAGTTCTAATCCAACATTTTTTCTTTTTCAATAATCTGTTACACTCAGGTGCAACAACTAATCCATCTGTGTGCCATGCTCGGAAACCATCAGCCAGTCATGTTGCTTTAGGCCCTGTCCCAAGTGCCAAACTTCATATGCACTTTCGGTCTTGTGGACTACAATGGCTGCCGTGTGCGCCTGTCCGTTAAGTCCATGAGACATAGGTTGTCCCATTTGTCATTTTAGGTCTCAAAAGGGTGATATGCGCCCTCGCGTGCGCCACAGCAGAAAGTGGCATTATTTCACGAAAGTGCGGACTCGTAGGAAGACCGCGAGTGCTCAGGGTGCCATGTGGGACAGGGCCCAAGTCTTGTTAAACTTCACACACTTAAGTGATCTAGCGGTGGTGGGCGCATGCACATCAATCAGACGGAGCGCATTAGAATAGGAGTGCAATAATTCTGACTAAATATAAAAATATTTTTGTTAGAAATTAATTGTAGGTTTGAAAAACAAGGAATCATATTTATGAGAGAGCAGTAACAGTAAATGCACTATTGTTGGAATAGCCCATTAATGTAATATAATTAGCCTATGTTCAGATGAGTGAAGGTGTGTTCTTTATACCTCATACAAGTTAACATTTTGTAATTTTGTTTATTATCTTTTTTAATTTAGTCATTTTAATTTCTGCTTTAAAATAGTAAGCAATCAGTATTTTTAGGTTTAGCATGTAATGTTTGTATTTTAACCCTTTTTTTGCTCATAATGTACTACACACATTCACTATATTTGTTTTTATAGGCTTTATATTACACATTGTTTGTAGGACAGCATTGGGCAGAGTATGAAATACAATTTTTTTTAAATAATGGAATCAATTAAAATAGATTTTTAATTAAACATTTTCAATATATAAATTTTTTGTTTTTTCATCCAATTAATCGATTAAAGCTGCAGTAGGGAGTTTTGAGAAAACGTTGACTTAGCCTGAAAATTTGAATATGCTTTACATTGACTAAGGCCTGCCCATACTTTGACTACAAACTTGGTCCTCAAATTATTACATATTTTGCAATACATGTAATGTAACTTTATAACGTTGCACCCTTTCAATAAGTTATAAATAGCTAGTAAGATAATTGAATGGTAACTAACGTAACAGTATGTAAGTAATTATTCTAGCGATATGTAGGCCTAATGCTAGATAAGGTTTGCTAGTACATTTGTAATGGGGTTCAGTTGTTATGGGAAGGAGGCGGGAACCGGCGAACGTTCAACTAGTTTAATAATAAATAAACAAATACAAAATGAAAGTATAAGCCAGCAGCCCCTCATGGACGACTGCTGGCACACAAAACAGAACATAAAATCACAACGTAAAATCAGGCCTGTTCCTCTCTCGATCTTCACTGTCGTCGCTCCTCCTTTATGCTTCCGCTCCTCTGTGAAAGATGCGAGACCGGTGCGTCTCACAGGTGTCGTTCATTATCACTCACGGCACCGGCCTCGCGCCGCTCTCACATCCCTCGGCCTCGTCCTGCTCGCCACAACATTATTTCAGCAACATGAATAGCCAGTGAATTAGCAGGTTTTAATTGTTGCTTTGCACAGTGCGTGACATTTTATCTACATGTTACGCGGCTAGAGTTAATGGGCTCTGTCTAATTCTTTCTTTTTCGCTTGTTTATCGTCATCGGTCTTTTTCCTTTTACCCGTCTTTGTTTTATGAGCAGGTGCCACTCGAGAAATTGGCAGTTTAGGTTGTTTCTCCGCCATTAGCACAGCTGCGGCACACCGGCAATCTTGAGTTTGAACTCGACGAGCAAGAGAGGGGTGTGATCAGCGCGTACACGAGCGTGATTGACACTGCTAAGACATTCCTCCTGGCTCTGATTGGTTGTTTCTGACCGGGAGCGGTGTATTTTTGCAAATGGCAATAGGACTACTGGGAGGAGTCAGAGGAGCTTGATTTTTTCACAGATTATCTGTCTCATATTCTACTGTCAGGACATAATGACAGTTTTAACAAATATGTAAAAAATAATTTACAAAAGTTACCTACAGCCAGAGCCGGATTAACGCAAAGGCAAACTAGGCACGTGCCTAGGGCCCGACTGGCTGGATGGGGCCCAGACAGAGGGATACATTTTTTTTTATTTTATTTTTTACAAATTTCCTATCTACAATTTATTTCAATATTTATTAATTAACTAAAAATAGTGACGATGTTTATCTTAACCATAGACTGTTACATTACGTCACATTAACGCCAGCCCATCAGGTGCTGCGAAGCAAAAGCCTAAATAGGCACGCAAAGAAGCACAGCTCGTAATGCAGGTGTGTGCGTTGTCGTCATCTATTTTGGAGTGATTGCAATGTATTCTAAATATAAACTTGTACTGTAGATCAGCGTCATTTCTGGAAAAAACATTCACCGCTTTATTACGAGTTTAAAAGAGCGCGAGCGTCATTAACGTGCCCAGACGCGACGCTTTGAATTTGCGCGTACAATGAATAACATCGCGTCGGGAGCTGACTAAAAACGCTACAAAAGTAAAAGACAAGACGTTTGAATTCAAAGTTAAAAAGCCAACACACTACAACATTTTTAAATGTTTCAAATAAAGGATCTCGGGTCTATCTTCTAAATTCTGCTGATGATTAGATTATAGCCTACCCTGTCATCAGCCTTCTTACGCCAATAATATCAGTTTAGATTTTTTTTTCTAATCAGTAGCGATCGTGTCTTTCTCTTCCACTTCATTTGTGTATAGCATATTTAAGCTAGCAATGCATAATATCATATTAGGCCTACTTATATTAATAATATGACAATATCTGCATTCTGCAGTCGAATATTTATTAAATGGGAGGGGAAAATCCTGCCCATACCAGCTATGAAAAAAATGATAAAAGCATATATCACTGAAGTGGTATTCTGGAACTGTGAATAAATTGAATAAAACAGCAAAATAACAATAACAATAACATCTTCATTAAACAAAAAAGAGATTACCTTAGATGAAGTTTGATTAATATGTAGCCTACTGGTAAAAAGTCTGGACCAATTACTATTTTTAATGTTTTTGAAAGAAGTTTTTTTATTATGCTCTACAAGCCTGCATTTATTTGATCAAAAATACAAAAAAGAAAAAGAAAAACAGGAATATTCAGCAAGGATGTGTTAAATATATAAAAAGGGATAGTGAAGACTTTTTTAAACAACTTTTTAATAATAATAAATAAAAAAAATCCTGAAAAAAAGTATCACAGGTTACAAAATAAATATTAAGCACCATTTCTAACATTTGATAATAAATCAGAAT